GACCCCAGTAACCCCAAGAATTGGTCTTTCAAGCGTAAATGGGGTATCACTGTTGTAGTCTCGCTTATTGCATTCATGACGGGAATATCGTCTGCTATCATCGCGCCCGCTAGCAATGTCATCGCCGAAAAATTTGACATCCACACTTCTTTTCGAAAGCAGCTCAACTTCTCCATTATTCAACTTGCTTACGTTATCGGGCCCCTGGTGCTAGCTCCGCTTTCTGAAATATACGGACGTTCGTTTATTCTTCAAGCCTCCAATGTTTTCTTCTTAATCTTCAATTTTGCGAACGGCTTCGCAGATACTGAAGGCCAATTCCTGGCCTTCCGTTTTCTTAGCGGTCTTGGCGCTTGTGCTCCGTTAACAATTGGTGGTGGTGTCCTGTCTGATCTTTGGCGCCCAGAGGAAATTGGTATGGCCATTGGATTATACACTCTAGCTCCTTTGCTTGCTCCTGCCCTGGGACCCTTACTCGGAGCTTGGATTGTCGAGAGGTCTACGTGGAAATGGTGCTTCTTTTCCATCACTATTTTCGGAGTAATCGTGCAGACCGTTGTTTTCTTTACACTGAAAGAAACCTACGGCCCACGAATCTTGCAAAGAAAAGCCGAGAAGTTGCGTCAAGAAACCGGAAATGACCAACTGCGAACCGCATTTGAGCTTAAAGATTTGCGTCTCATCTCTATCATGCGAACTTCGCTTGTTCGTGTCATTATATTGCTTACCACTCAACCCGTCGTGATTTTCCTCTCCGTATATTTTGCGATGGTCTATGGTATCATCTACCTTATGCTGGTGAGTACTCATCCAATGCTTATCTTCGATATTGGGTCAGATACTGATTTACAATTTTCTTCTTTTAGTCTAGCTTCCCGTCGCTGTGGACAACTTACTATCACGAACCCGTTGGCATCGGTGGTCTCAACTATATTGCTATCATGATCGGCTTGACCATCGGCGCACAAGGAGGTGGTCGTATTGTAGACTATGTATACAAGACCTTGAAAGCCCGATCGCCTGATAATACTGGAAGACCCGAATTTCGCGTGCCTCTTCTTTTCTTCTCCACCTTCTTGGTGGCAGCGGGGCTTTTCATGTATGGGTGGTCCGCTGAGACAAGGACTTTCTGGCTTTCGGCAGACATTGGTGCTGCTATTTTCTCTGTAGGAGCAGCTATGACGTTCGCTTCAATCCAAACATATATTATCGACTCCTATTCGCTATTCGCTGCATCTGCTATAGGTGCGACCGCGGTGCTGAGAAGTTTGACTGGTTTTGGGTTCCCGCTTTTCGCTCCTGCTATGTATAGCAAACTTGGTTATGGCTGGGGTAATAGTGTGCTTGGGTTCGCTGTTCTGGCCGTTGGCTATGCTGGAGCTCTGATCCTCTGGTTTTTCGGGCACAGGCTAAGGGAGGCAAGTCCATATGCGAGAGGGAGTGGGTGAAGAATGCAAAATGATCAATTTGCACCCTGTTACACGGAGAAGAAGGAAAGATTACACGTATATATCATTTGAAAGGCGAGACAGTAATCTGTAATTAGATTAGAGGATATTATAGAAAGAGTCCCATGACTGGTGAAGACAATTCTCACCATTAGAAATAAAGTATGTGTAGCTTTTATACGAAGTCGACCGGTCTTGGGCTCGGTTTAGGTACCAGCTTGCGGACGTATATGTGTAAACCATAGAATGCATCCGTACGCCACTTAGACCGAAAGCATTGGCAGATGAGAACCCAAATAATGGCTTTTCCTTAAATATAAGTACCATGTAAACCCCTAGGTTCTACCTCAAAAATCAAAGTAGATGCAAGTGAACCGAATGATTAATTTCCTTCACTCGTGCGATATGTCATCTGTCACTCTACCCAAAAAAAAAAGTTGTATGTTTGGGTCGTAGTGTTCCATCGGATTTTTCCCCAGACTAATTTGGGAGAGCTTTCCTGATCCTAGTTGTGTGAATACTTCGACATTGCATCGCATTTTTCGACACTACGGGCAAGCTAAATAGAAAGAGAATGATATTAGCACAAGGAATTTTGTACAATGAATAGCAGCAGTGGCTCTCAATAAGCCCAATGGATGTTCAGATATCTCAAAAATGAATAGCAATATCGGTCTTCACACGTAGATCATCGATGTAATAGAGGAATTAAGTCGATCTTGAGACCTCTTAACGAGGTAGCCGCGCAGCGCTTTTCTACCAGGGGCCGCTTTCGGGAGATCTCTGGCTATTGGTAAAATCTGAGGCATATGTCTTCGCATCGACTTATCGGTCTTCACAATCAAAGCTCTTCTTGGTCGATTGCAACGCACTTTATCAAATCAGAAAAGGCGCACCCTCTTGAACTTGCTTGTGCCGTTCTGGAAAAAGTAGAGCAACTTTCTGTATAGCGTTTGCTGATATCGGTGTCATTGAACAAGATCTCCAGCGCGGCCGCTTCAAGCATCATATGTTTCTTGGTTGTTACCGTGGTTGATTGTGTCCAGGTATGTGCCAGCAGGAGATATATCGAGTGTAAAATTGGTAATTGCGCATTATTATACAACATAATATCAGCTGCCAATCAATGGGGGCGCAGTGCGTGTAATGAGTTGCTGTGGCCCCATTTCGTCGAATAGAGCAACTTTTGTAATCTTTGAGCTGGGTAAACTGCCATCAATTTATGGGTTGTGATTGGTAGCTGCCTGAGGCATCACCGCTCGCGGCGCCTACTACGAAGTAGGTGTGATGGATTACTTAAGAAGCTGACCTTGGACTACTTTACATCAATTGTCAATTCTTTCTGTGCGTGTACACCTGAGTTGTCACTTCTCGATTCCATGCAAGTCATCGGCATTTGCTCATTTCGATCAAAATGAACAGAAGTTCTAACGGCTGCTGGACTTGTCGACTGCGGCGCAAAAAGTGCGATGAGCATCGTCCTGTTTGCAACGAGTGCATGACGCTCCACATCTCTACGTGCAATTATGGCGTCAAGCCGGCATGGATGGACGGCGGTATAAAGCAGGAAGTCATGACCAAAAAGATCAAAAATGAGGTCAAGCAGCATGCTCCTTATCGTCGCCGTGGTAAACGGGAATCGACTACCCCCAATCTCGACGTTTCTATTCCAGGACTTGGACATAAGAAGTTAGCTAGTTTCAATATCCCTCCTCCAGAACCTGAAGTTCAAAGTGAAGCCAGTTCGTATGCACATGTTACTAGCGCAATTTCTCCAGATATATCGAATATCGCTTCTCCTGTTAACACCCAAAAGATCTGTAAGCAAGTACTGCAGATAAGACCATTCGCACAGTCGGACTCGGTGTTACTTGTGTTTTACCTCGAACGTATCCTTCCGTTCCTATTTCCTTTCTATCGGCCTGCGCCACTCCATGGCGGCCGAGCATGGATTTTGGATTTGGCTATAAGCAGCCCCGTCGTCCGTCAAGCTATCCTTTGCCAGAGCTCATATTTCTTTGCATTGGCACACGGAACTTCTACCATCAAAGACGATCGTATGTGGGAGGCTTTACTCGAGCAAACGAGAGATGCTTTTAACATGTTACGCAATTCTATTACAATCATCGAGAGCTACAACGAAAATGAGCACATACTTGGTAGCGTTCGCGCTATGGCTGCTGTCATGCAGCTACAACGCTTCGAAATTGCCATCACTTCTTTTGACAATTGTCAAGCGCATCTCAATGCTGCCTTAACAATCTTCAGGAAAGTCGTTGATGTCGTTGGAGCTGACAACCTAGCTAGCTCTTCCGACACATTTCAGAGTATTCTCAGTCTTCTGGGCCCCCCTACATGGATTCTGCCAGCCCAACAAGCTGAAATATCTAGCTCTGAACAAGCTGCTTTTCGTTTCTCAACAGCTCTATTGATTTTCGATGACATCATCGCGAGCACCGCTTTCCAGGAGCGTCCGAAGTTGTACGACTATCACCAAAGCCTTCTTTGTAAAAGTGATGGGGTCGACGCTGTCCCTCCTATCAACCTTGAAACTACTGTGGGTTGTCAGAACTGGGTGCTCAAACAAATCGGCGAGATCGCTGTTTTGGATGCATGGAAGAAACACTGCAAGGCAGCTGGAAATCTAGATGTTATTGAGCTGGTACAGCGCGCAGCAGCAATCAAGAAAACGCTAGAGGCTCATGTTTCGCGTTTCGAATCCGATCTCGTGTCTGTACCCCAGGAGAGCAATTTACTGGACGACATGTTTGCAGCGGAAGATTACACTGGACAAGCTCGGACAATCGCTCGGCAAACCTCATTAGTGACACGAATTTGGGCGCATAGCACCTTCCTTTATCTATCTGTTGTCGTATCTGGGTGGCAACCTGCCAACCCTGATGTACGACATCACGTAGCTCAAGTTCTCGAGCTGTTAACGCATCACGTATCACCTCCAGCATTGTTGCGGACAATGGCCTGGCCATTTTGCGTTGTAGGTTGCTTGACGGAATCTGCTCAAAAAGCCCGGATACGCGACATGGTAGATTCTCTACGACCCGCCAGCCGCTTTAGCACTGTGCGCCGCGGCTTCGACATTATAGAAAAGGTGTGGAACGATAGGGCCATGGGCAACGCTGGCGAATTTGCTACATATTTTCGAAGTGATACCACTCTTGTGCTACTCGTTTAGAGGTTTAAGAAGCACATGGATTTTTTGACTCTTGGTTTCAAGCTTTTCAAAGTGTATTCAAACAATAGTATGGATATTAAGAAGTGTTCTTATTAATTCCAGGGCTCTTTTCCGCAAACCCTACGAACATCTGCAATGTAATTGATCTTAGCCTGTCTGTTTCCGATACTTGGTTAGTCAATTCAGCGGCCTTTATACCTCTACTTTATTCCTTTCGTTACTTAAATTCAAATGTCAATATATTTGGATCTATCTAGCGAATAGTATTCATCTTATTACAAATTTGGTTAGAGGAGAACATCTTCAGTGAGATCAACACGGGTTGGAAGAAAAACAGCTAATTCTGCTTTTAGCACTTGTATTCATAAGATGAAATATTTTTATTGTTAATTGGCCATTCTACATGCGCTAGCTAAAAATCCAATTGATATCTAAAATTTGGTATAACCTTGGTCCTTTACAAATGTAGCGTGCCATGGAACATTTTCCGCACCGCTCGCCGCCAATTGTGAATAGAAATCGGCATGCGCGGGCCCGTTGACCGCCTGGCCTGCGATCTTGCCGTCGGCTTGGCGCTGGTCTGCGTAAATGAATCTGGGAGAGAAAGTGTCAGAGGACGATATACTGCAAATCTCTGTTTCTCTCTATGTGGAACATGATTTGGAAAAGAAAGGATGGACAAGAACTTACCGGTAACCCTTGGCTGTATATGCTCCATCAGCAACACCAAGCCAGTAGGCAGTGGCTGCCTTTCCCATACCACCGTTCAACAACATTGGCACTGGCAATACAGCGACATTGCAAATGTTACCTGTGTAGATGAATATCTTCTTGCTTTCTGCGGGTAGAGTCTCCCAGCCTTTGATAGCTTCTTGTGCGGCGATGAAAGGAGTGACAACATTGACGTTCAAATCGTTTGTAACACGAGCCTGCAGAACAGTAAACTTAGCATTTTTCTGAATAAGAAAGGTTCCTGAAGGGGGACAGGGGTAGAGGTCTCGCTTTCGAAGCACGTTCAGATGGAGAGGGACTTCATGAGTGAAAATCAAAGGGGTTGGGAACTGGTCTGATGACGACTTACACTTGGGATAGACAAGGCTGATTCTGCATCGGGTGGAGGAGTGATGGAACCGGCGTTGTATATGATTACGCTAGGAGCCGCTGAGAATTCGCTCTTGACTTTGTCGAAGATAGAAGCCAAGATGCTGGGATCGGTGTTGGCAAAATCGGCCGAGAGAGAAAGATAGCCCTTCTCATTGACTGAGTTTGTACCTTTCCTCGAGACAATGGCGACTTTGTATCCTTCTGCCGCAAACTTTTCAGAGACAGCTTCGCCGATACGTGGACCTGAGCCGAGAATGAGAACGCTTTTGGTAGCCATTTTTATTGGAGATGTCGAGAAGCTTCGTGAATTGAAACGCAATTTGGTACAGAATAATCTCATGAAATCAAGTTGTATGTATAGGTTAGGAGAAGTGCTGTATGATATTCTCGTAGAGGCCAAACCCCTCCTTCCTTATATCGGCTGATCAGTTTTATAAGCCGCGCGGGGGTGAGATCCAAAACCCGCGCGCCGCATTCGCAATATTCCTGGAAATCTTATCTTACATTCCTATTTTGAGCCCTTGCTCTTGGTTGGCTACGATGAGGGAGTGGACCCTGCAGCATAAACCCAGTGTGCATCATGCACGGATGCCGTGATTTAGGATCAACGACGCGCGGCTTACTTAAGCCGCGCGAGTGTGGGTCACCGGGGCTTGGAACTCAACATCAACAATTTAAGTCCATGCTTTTCTGGCGATATCACATCATCTTTGATTCTCCCACTTCTCACTCGAATGTCCCAATCAGAATTCTCTCCGCGGGTCAAGGGTAAAGCGCTCGAGACCACCCTGTCGAGAAGAAATGCTTGATCTTCTAAGCAGGATCAACATGACGACACCCTGTTTCGGGATACGGGCTCCACCTGCTTTTGGATCAATAATACAAGGGTGTAGATATTTCCCCTTCAAGTCGTCTTACATGCAAGGCCAATCACAAAAAGTCCCCTTGCTTTGCGGGCATCGTACTATTGCCATAGTATCATCTCGCGGCCAAGGATGATTGTCTAGTGCACATGCAATCAGAGGAGTCAACAATGCCTTTCTCAACGCTATAGATTACGAAGTACCTTTTATGTTGTTGCAGCCGAACTAATTGGTTATTATTTACGAGTGGGATAAGGACTGGAAAGATCTTCAAGTGATGGAACTAGAAATGAATGCAGCTCTACGTCGACCTGGAAGAACCGGAGGTATTGCCGTAGACTCTCCGTAGAGGTTTCGATGTTCTTTCCATTGATTCTGCTTACAATACCATTGAAAGAGGATCACGAGGCTCTGTCATTGGTGCCATTCTTGCCCGCGGATTTCGAAATACCATCTTATAGCCTGATGTTGCTCTCGATCAAGCGATCCGCGAGAGCAGGATACCTACTTGCTTACGCGCGGGCTCCAACGTACTTGACTGTCAAAGGCCTTACTGTTACCGTAACACAATCAACCTTCCCCGGCTGCGTTATAATCCGCCAGCTCTATGCCTACTTACCGATGGCGTTACGTCTTTTTGGTTTATGCTAGCTCCTGTAACGTGCTAAAAGTAAAAAGTCACGTGGAGTACATGATACAACGTTCATGATTCTGTTCATTGAAAATATGAGATTGAGGGAAAGCTTTTTGAGTATATAGACTAGCCTAAATTGTGGAGATAGCTACTGTTGGGCCATTGAATTGGAATCAAGACTGTTCTGGCTCATGAAAATCCCTCCATTGATTCATCGCCAGTTCGGTCAATAATTCAGACCAGCAGGTCGGGTGCAACTTCTCAATATTTGAAATCAGTGCAACATCCGAAACGAGGCGGGCGTTCCAAACTGCTTGGATAGTCTATCGATTGGAATCTCCTGGTTGTTGCACCGCAGTACGGACCATTGTAAACCCTAGTCATCACCAAAACTACCATGAATTATATTTATATACCACAAATGCCCCTCTAAGTTGAGAGCCTTAACACAAAAGCAGTCATCAATGTATTTCTGCCTCAATTTTGCCTCAACGAAATCTCAATGATTGAGTCCGTACTTCCATTGGGCGTCTGTACCATCACGAAGTCAGTACTGTCTATTATGTATGTCTTTTAATCCGATTACGGAATGTTCTTATGGAGAAATTCTTACGAGAATGCGTGTCAACTCAAGATTGGAATCTGCCTCGGTGATGATCTCCCTCCATTCAGATTCGCTTCGCTCCTGTGCATTCAGCATTTGAACCATATTAAGGTCCCTGATTCTAGTAAAACATTAGCAAAGAATGGTTGGCTTTGAAGTGGAAAATATACCGCAGGTAGCGTTCTGCAATACTCGACATTGGTCTGTTCGATGGCGAAACGACAATTTCGACCAGCAGAATCTTGCTTCCAGACTTCATGGCCGGTACAATCTGACGAATAATCTTGACACTATTCTCATGCGACCAATCGTGACAGATATGACGCAAAACATAGACTTCTGCACCTGTTACCGGCTGGGCGTCGAAGAAATTGTGCGGCACAAACTTGACTCGGTTGGTCAATTCGGATGACAACTGTGCAGCTCCTTGCTCAACATTCTTCTTGTAGTCTTCTACCACAAAGTTCAGCTTTGGGTAATTCTTGGCAAGTTCTACACTCAAGAATCCGGACGAGCCACCAACCTATACGAATTTGAGTTAGCTTTCCAGGACGGAAACAGAGAAGCAAGTCAAACTTACATCTACAACAGTAGCCTCTCCAAGTTCTGCCCATGGATATCCCGTTATAACGTGCTTTTGACTCTGACTAGGATCCTTGTTAACACCCTCCATCGCACCGACGAATCGAGCCATTAACTCGGGGCTTTGCTCGAGGTATTTGAATAAACCATCTTTCGTGTTAAAGGCAAGACCAAATGCGGTATCTTGTGCAGCGGTGCTATCTTTATATTTCTCCAGCGCCTCGGCTAGTTTTGCACTGGCAGGAAACATCTGCTCGACGAAGAAACCGTAGTAATTCATCATATTGTGGTTGCGCAATAGCAGGGCTGACGAGGCGGTGTGAACAACATGGTCCGGGCCATCCTCTCGCAGCATCCGATTCAACATTGCTTTGCGCACAACCGTTTTGACTTTTCTCTCGGACAGACCGACTTTTGCAGATATTTCCGCATAAGTAGCCCCACCATCTAGTGGAATTGCAGGAAGAATGTTGAAGTGATAGATCACCTGTTGAGCCGCATTGTCAAGAGCCTAGAAACATATCTTAGCATGGCATACTTCACATCATTCTTGCTTTTCTTACAGCACCCCAAACCCGAGCCAGAACCTCTCGTGGACCAAGAAACAAATCGTGGAGCGCACTCGTGTCATCTATGACCGCCATCCGCGCTGCTTCAATCTCAGGTTCACCATCAGTGTCGGGGAATTCATCCTCCGCATCCTGATCGAAAGACACATTGGCATTCTTGCCCGCGAGCCATTTCTCGACAATAGCTGAGTTGCTGGCGATTCTTTCGCTGAGCTCTTTGATAGAAGACATATTTAACGTGGGGTTTCTTGTGGAGTTGGCTATTGCAGCATGTGCTCTCGATGATGCTATTTGTATTCTTAGATACACTGGAGAGTCAACACGAGTCTGACATTCTTGTGTGAATCGGGGCTCGGCCGTCCACTATTCGGCTAATTCCCCCGCTTCGGCCGGCCGGGCTGCACGGCTATTTTCAAAGCCGCATTTTTTGGATTTTTTGGTGTTTCTATGCACAAGTTTTAGTCTACGCAAAGCTCACATCTAAGTAGAGCGCAGCTATCATAACCTAGGAATTCATCTGCCGAACTCCGAGTCTGTCAAGATGCGATGCTAGATTTTCAAAGTTCTTGCCGCAGGATACCAGTGATGAAAATCAGGGGGCTAGGGTATGAAATGTTTCAATTAGCGAAAGTACTCTAGTGAATTAAGCTTCGCTCTATGTTTGACAGCGACATATTTGAATCAGTTTACATTCTATTGCTAAACTACATTGGTCGGAGAAAACTTCTTGCCTTGAGGACTAAAAGTCATATGACTCGATCCATTCCCCTCTGTTGAGATACCTGGCTCTTCATGAGTCCGCAAACGCTTCCTCGGCAATTCAGGTGCCAGTTCAGGCCATGTTATAGCTTGTTCCGGGCTACCGTTAGCACCGCTTTGTCTCAGCTGGTTGAGTAGATCCGATATACCAGCATCTGAAGCATCTGCTGAATTTGCCGAACCAAAGGGTGTATACGGCCCTATCGACGATGGGAGAGAGGAATCGATATCCCAAGAGAAAGGTGTGCTCGCAGCAGGTTGTGGGGAGAAAGAGAAGATCGATCTGTCTCCTATTGAGCCTGGTGGGGAGATCTTGAAGAAATCTTCAGTTTGGGTATTGAGAGACATTATCATATCAGACATGGATGCTGTTGAAGCCATAGAGATTGGTTGATGCTGTTCAGGATGCTTTATCAGATTGATTATGATAAGCAGCTGCTCAAATGTCCACGCGACTTTGCGATGATAGCTGTTAGATTGCATCCGATCTGTGCTATTTATATAGCAGGCAGACACTCTGCGCAATAAGTCGAGGTCGGAGTCAGACCTTTGATCATTATCTGAGGACCGTAGAAGGTCTTTTAGTAGTATGAAGAATGCTGGCAGTGAGAAGGCGTCGAGCACACTGGCAAAAGAGACTGTGTTTGCTTCAATGGTGGATAGCTTCTCGTCCCAATATGGATTGGCTGTCTTCTGACAAGCTAGATTGTTGAAAGTATCGATAATTTGAGAATCTTGAACTCCGTTTGCTATTAGCAATAAGAGGCAACTGGCTCTTGCATCGGAACGTAATTGTTCGGCATGTTTTTGCCCAGATCCGTGCTGTAAAGCAAGTATACGGGTAGCCAAGAACTCCAAAGTCAACATGGAGCGTCGTGGATTATAAGAGGAAGCTTGCGAATTCAAGATACCAAAAGTTTGTGTATATTGGTCCAGTTGGCGCTCGATGGATCGCAACAATTTGGAAGCTTGTGACTTTCTAGGTTTACTTGTACGAATGGAGGCAGTGTGCGTCAAGCGATAAACATCATCTTGGATCATTGCTAGTTGCAGTGTGTCTGAATAGGGCACATGGCGCTCTATCGCAGCGCTTAGTTGGGGAGCAATATTGCAATCGTGGGTCGGGAGCCAAGAAACAGAGCCTCGAGTAGTGCACAAACTTTTGTCCCGGACATATAGCGACTGTATGACTTTTGCTCGTTCCAATGTATCATATGTATTGGTCTCATCGGGAAAGATTTGTGTTTGGTGGAGTCCCATAGTCCTTGCAAGCCCACAAGCGTTGGTGAAAATAAGCTCAGCCCAGCCCGGCGGATCAAATTGTTGTGCTGCGACGCTCTAGAAAAATGGTTAGCTCGCTAGTGCGAAAATCAACAACGTGCAATTAAACCTGTACATACTAGAAGTATCAAAGTCTGGACGTTGATAAGTCTGGGCGTGGTCAATAATCGAGAATTGACCAGCGCCGCTCGACTCGGAAGAAATGAACGTGCGAAGTCGCCAAAGAGACCGTTGCCTGATTGGGCAGAAATTTCCATCCCCCAAACTAGCACTGTAATGGCCTGAAAACAGATGGCCCACACATCGTCCCCAGGCTCAGGGTTATGCGAGTATATACGTTCGACCTGGGCAAGGAGATTGCTCTTTACGAAAATATCGGTTGCACAGTCAAGATGCTGAAAGAAATGACCAACAATGGTGGTGAACTGTTGTTTTGGTAAGAGGTTGATGACGGGTTGGCTTCCAAAAGGTGGGAATGGTTCGACTACAGCAGCCCTTTCGCACAAATTTTGCAGCATATCTTGTAACGGAGTATTGCATTCGACATCGTTTGTAGAAACAGCGCAAGATCGAAATTGCTTGCAGAGAACAAATAGCGACAGCGGACCGTGATAATAATCGATTCTATCCGCCTGGTTATAAGAGACGTGAAAGTCGGCGTAGTCGTCGCTGTATGGGGAAGGGCTCGCCGGACAATCTTCATCGTCTTCTTCATCAAAGCTTCCACCCCTGGACGCTTGTCGAGTCGATGAGTTAGAGCAAGAGTTATCCTGATCTGTATTATGTGCGATGTTGTTAGATAGGCGGCCGAGATGCGTCTCTATATTGATCAGGCGCTCTTTAACTCCATTGACACTGTCGAATCTGGGCACTAATCAGACATATTTTATTTTATTGAGAGCAATGGAGTAACTCACAGTGACTTCAAGTGATTCACTCTCTTGGTAGGATTTTGGTAAATGCATGTCACGCTATCGTCTTGTTCGCAATTATTGCATTGTGGGAGCTCACGGCTACAACGAATCTTGCGCTCACGGCAGCGAGTGCATGCCTGATCTGAGACAGTGTCTTCAGAGTGGCTTTGTTTCTGTTCGCTCAGTTAGCGGCAATGTGGTATAATGAAGAACATGAATATCTTCATATGTACCCTTTTTAGATGGCTCGACATTTTGTGTTGAAAGCTATTTTGATCTGATTCAATTGGCTTTAGTAGAGTCTTTTCAAATAGATATAAACTTATGATATGATGCTCCGGCTCTCTTGTAGGCAAAAGGGAAATATCTAGCGATGTTCTCATGTAAGCTTGAATTACCAATGCCATTGGTCAAGGGTTTTGACCTCACTTCGTGTCAGCACTGCCAGCGGCAGCTAGTTCTCCCTAAGCATATTACTCAGAGGTTCTCTCGCTTTGTTACACAGCCGAATATCGACCTATCACCAGGATTCATGCAGGAATAACGCTTTCTCTTCTTCAAGATTTTAGAAGTTCAATCAACCTTGAAACCCGCACATCACATTTAACTCAGATAGCGATAGTTTAACGGGGCTCTAAACGACACCACCCGTCACACAAGCCGACCCTATAACTTTCTGCAAACATCATTGCGTCTTACGTGAAAAGTGACCACAAATATAAGCACACGTCAGCTGCAAATCAAACCACCCTCGAACCACTCCTCGTCGTATGGCTGTAAATCACCTCGAATTATCAATCTACAACGCGAGATATGTCATCTTCATGTTCCAATCGTTCTTCTGCGAACATGCCAAATTGAGTTCCTCCGCGTCTCCTTATCTGGCTACGTGATAGTCCGTAATCAAGCCTTTTCAAGGGTCGCTGCAGTGATACGGCCAAGAGGATCGGAATCCATGGATAGCAGGGTGAGCTAGTAGTGTTTCCTGAGGCAGTCGCTGACGCTTCTTCAATCGTTGTATCCCACTTTCCGTGAAGTGTGTGTACGACTTTGATTAATCCGATGTCTGACGGACAGACAGAGTAATTTCACAAGGGCAGGAGGGAAGAGGTTCTAGAGTTTTCCATATTCGTGTGGTAGGTTTTCCTACTGGTGAGATTAAGTTTAAGTGGGTATCGGTACCAAACTTAGTAAACCCTTGCATAGTCTATTCCTATTCTAATTCTAATGCTGCATCTTTATCTGATCAACCCCTCATCCACCTCCATCAAACCAATCACAGCAGGACATTCTATTCAAAATATTACAGTAACCCTTCTCCCAAAACTGCCAACGGCGGTGCTTGTGAAAATAGTATTGCCAAAATGCTGCAGGTGGCATTCAAAGGTCTAATCACGAAGTAACGTTATCGCTAAAGAGAAGGATTTCCTTAGTATCAACCGAGAAAACCCACTCAATTGGCTTGGCTAGCCATTGGCTACCAATCGGAAGGAGCGTTTGCGTCAGATCAACAGACAAGAGATTGAAGAAAATTAAGCTTCTGGCCTTCCCGCACTACGCCTCCGCAATATTTTGGTTAATGAATAAACGGGAGGGATAAGCGTGAATGTCTCATAGTGACTGTCACTTTTTTACACCCTGGATGTTTGACTCTGCTCTTTGATTTGGGCTACTTTCTTGTAGATCTGTGGGAGTTTCATTCTGTTGTACTGTTACCTATTTTGTTTCCACGTGAAATGCTTGTTACCTACTCCCATGTCGTGCCCAAATAGTGAGTGAGAGTATTCCTCTCGCTCCTCCCCCATCATTCTTAAATTTTCTCCAACTCTCGGGCTGCCCCCACGGCCCCGCTATTTCTTCCAAGTGGGGATAATAAGTGGAAGTTGCGGAACTTGACTTGGCAATGGCGACTGTACAAACAAGGAGATGATAAGAGGAGGTATTTGACGGTCAACAACCTGCAGCACCGCATACGGTTGGATAGAAGGGCATTCGAAACGAATCAGCCCAGCATGCTGACCGTGGATCTAACCCAGCCTCATGTTTGGGTAGGATTGAGAGGAGGGAGGCGGTGTGGGGCCAAGGACATCTGTATAAGCTGCATATGCATGCACAGACGTTATTTACACGTGATTGACCTCCACTTCTTGAACAGTGACCCCGGTAGAGGGTCTTAACTGGCTTCTGCTCCTTTGTCTTTGCACTAGTTAGAAGATTAAAATAGGAAGTTATAGAGAGAAAAGTATAAATAGAAATTCCTGATATGGAAAAGGTCTT